CGAGCGTGGCGGCGGGTTCGAATGGGCCGAGGCGGGGAGGGCGAGGTGGAGTCAGGTTGTGGCTCAGGGGCAGGATACGGGGGAGGGGGTAAGGGAAGGATGTCTAGCGGGTCGGAGAAGTCTTCGCTCGGAGGTAAGACTGGAGGTGCGTTGGGCTTGGAGGTCTCCTCTTCAGCCTTGGATTTCGGTTTGAGGGCTGCTAGGACTCCATTCGGAAGTGGCTCAATCCAAGGGGGAGCATCATAGATTGTATCTATCCAAGCCTGGATATAGACAATCTGATCGGGGTGAGCGGGGGGCCCAAATACATACTGGCGGACCGCTCGAGCTGTCTCCATATCAAAGGACCCAAAAGGGGGCCAGACTCCTTGGGTCCCCAGGGGCCACTCCTGTGTGACAAAGGTTGTTAGTCTGGCTTTGCGAACCCTTTCCCCATATCTCCCACCTCGCCTCTGGAATTCTTTAAAGTGGTCAATGACAAGGCTAAGGGGAGTGCTGGGAACAGATTCGTTCCGACCCATAATGGACTCGTTCTGACCCATAGCTGGTGGTGTCGCTGGTTTTGCTGGAAAAAAAACTTAAAAGGCAAAGTTAGGGTTAAACAGAAAAACTACAGAGACTAGGCAAACGGTCGGAATCACCTTTGCCCACTCCGAATTCCAGGAAGGAGCTCCTAAGAAAGAAGGCTCTGTTAGAGTTAGGTGACCAAAAAGGGGAACAATTAGAACAAATGAACACACAGACCGACACACAAGACGAGACAGGACAAGACAAGCTGCAGCAGAATGGCCTTTGCTCAAAAATTAGTCAAATTTTGGGATCTGGAGGAATTAACAAATTTAACTAATGAAGTGGTTCCCCACCCAGGCGGAGTCACAAATGGCAAAAACCAATTGACTTCGTCCTCGGGGGCTTCACTTCCCAAATTAAGGGCGTCCCCTTCCGAACGGAGTGGTTCCTCACCCGGGGCAGATTCACAGATGGACAGAATTTGTCCGACAAACCAACTGACTCTGTCCTCGGGTGGTTCCCACTCCCAAATTGAGGGCGTCCCCTCAAAATTACAAATTGACCGCGGCCCAAACAAAACCTCCAGAGCACTTACTTTCAGATGTTCGGAAATGAGTCTGGAGTCTTGCTTCCATCCAGGGCGAGCCCCCAAATGTTATAACGTGGGCCCCGGTATAAAGTCCACGGAAACAAGAGTCCAAAACTTAAGTGGCAAAGGCTTTATTGAGCCAGTCCTGGCGGCACAGTCTCTCCTAGATCAAACCAAAGACTGCGCGCCCCAGACTGGGGAAAGGGGTTTTTAAAAGTAAGGGAAAGTGGGGAGGAAACCTGTAAGGCCATTAAACCTGTTGACCCGCATCTGGAAACTGTATTGCTGTCCACTTAGCTCTGACAGTCCCGGGAGTTCCTGGTGTTGCTCAAATTACTCCCATCCTGCAGACTGACATTATCTCAGAGTGGCACATCTGCAGCAATATTTGGGGAAGAAAGTGGAGAGTTAATTATCCTAGGACAGCTTGTCTTCGCCAGTGAGTGCGAAGGGGTCACGAGTTATGAGATGCTGGAACTTAAGTTTTACAAAGATCTGATATCTAACCCATTGGTACATACAGAACAAAAGGAAAGCACCGATCGGGGTTTGGGCCACAGTATTTCCCGGTAATTTCTTTGAAGCTAAACAGTTCTTAAAATTGGGGCAGGCTCATTTTATGACAGATCATCACCAGGTCGGGGAGAGGTCACCAGAAACCCAAATTCTTTATGGCCCAGATAGGTGGGTGGGGGGGAGGCAATAAGGCGCGCTACAGAACAGGAAAACGGCGAGTATCTATCTTGTGGGAAGAGTAACTAAGGTTAGGTAAAAAGGTTAAACTCATGGGCAAATCTCCCTGCATATAAACACACTACTTCAAACAATGTGTAAATTAGTGGGCCTTCTTGTCTTCTTTAGTTCTTTAGCGAAGACTAGAGGCGCCTACCCGTGATTAACAGCCCTTGTTAGCTTGTTTTAGCACCACTCTTCTTGTTTGTAGAGGGCCGCTCCGTGATTAACATTTCAATTAAGTGAAATTCTTGCAATTCTTTACAGGGGAGAGTATTGCTCAACATATCAATTGGGTCACTTAACATATCAGTTAAGAAAAGAAAACATTTAGTAAGCCGCGGTACAGGTTTGCTATAATACACAAAATGATGAAGCTACTTTCTTAGAGTACAACAGTATGCTAATTTTTATAAAAATGGTATATACAAATTTTATTTTATTTTATATTTCAGTTTTGGTACTAGAAGTTAACTCAGGACCTCTCACTTGCCAGGCAGGCAATATGCCACCGAGCTGTATCCCGGGGCTCACAACCTTATTTTTAGAAATAAAATAAAAATTCGTATTTTGTTTTGCTGTAAATAAACATAGGAGCTTGTTAAAGGAAATGAAAATACTAAGTGAAGTGTGTAAGTCTTATAAATTAGGATGATGAGATAACATTGAATGCTTGATATGCATATGAAACATTCATTTTAATGGTACTGATTTAATCCATTCTACCGGAAATGCAGATCTATAAAATCGTCAGTGTGGGATAATGGTATCAACAAACTGCTTTAAGGCAGTTAAATCCATAATTTAACATTTCATTGCCTTTCTACTTTTTCCTCCTTTTCAAAAATGCATTCACTAATTTTCCGTGCTTACTGTATGGTTTTTCCTGTTCTCACAGCCAATAATTCTATATTGTAAGGTAATAGAATTCTTTTGAAAAGACATCTCAGTCTTAAGTAGAATACTGCCTGCTAATGTAAAGATAGCCATCTCTTTTGCAGTTATACATAATTAATAGTAATGACTAGTGGTTTTAAAATTTTCATTCTTTTAAAAAAGTGTTAACATAGCTGGGTGTGGTGACACATGTCTGTAATCCCAGCAGTCCAGAGGCTGAGGCAGGAGAATTGCCATGAGTTAGAGGTCAGCCTGGTCTCCATAAGTGAGTTCAAGGCTGGCCTGCACTACATAGTGAGGCCCTATCTAAAAAAACATAGAGAAAAAAAAACAATAGCAACAAAAATTCAGTGTTGGGAGCAATGTGATCCAAACAGGAGTATTCTGACATGGCTCCAAAATAATCCTCTAAAACTTTATATTCCCTTGCTTTCCTTCCTTTGTTTTAATGTAATATATGCAGCAGAGACACTCCATCTCTGATGGGTAAGAGAGATCGGGTAAAAGAAAAACTTTTCGGTGCTGGGGGATCAAACCCAGGTACGTGCTTCACACATAACAGACAGGAGCTCTACCTCTATGCTTCAGCCCTGCCCCTAGCCCTGGAGGCTCATCTTAAAGCTGCTCTTTGCACAGGCACCAAATTATTTTGCCTTAGAGAGACCTGTGGTGAAAGGACCAAGGAGACTTCTACCAAGCTGTCGTTGGGACGGCTGTACCCTAAAGATAGCTAGCAACAGTGTGCCTGGAGAACAAAGAAGCTGATATTTAAGAATTATTCTATACGTTTATTAAATACGTGTACCTGTATGTTCTCAGCATCATATTTTCTGTACATTATAATGGCATATAGACAATTCTTTAGCTGATGAGAAAGACAAAAGATATATTATCTCCCAAATTATTTTAATCAGAAGCATTGATCTTTACTATTGAAGAAAATGGTAAAAAAAGAAAAAATCACTTTCTGTTTATTTCCCCTGCCCTCCTCACCTTTTGTAGTTCCAAAGGTTGGAAAAGTAGTCAGAAATTACAAAAAACACCAAGAAGAAAAGCAAGGACAGCTGCTTTACCCAGCTGGTCTCCTCACCACCCCGCTGAAACTCTGCTCCTTGAGGCTGCCTCCACCTGGCTCACAAATTCAGCTGTACCGCAAGCCACGACCTCCACTTCCTCTTTCAGCTACACTGGCCTCTTCCACACAAACGCTTTGCTGGAACCCCAGCCTAACAAGAGCTTGCTTGTCATCCTTTTATGTCCTGTACTTCGAATTTGGCACCAAACCACGTTCTAGGACTTACATCGTTGAGAAAGTGAAGTTGTTTTTACATGTATCTGTCCTGCCTATCTCACTGCATTGTAAGATCTTGTGATCAAAGAGTTACACACTTATTCATATCTATGCTGGGCTTTTCTTGAGGCCCTGGGATTAAAAAGAGCCAGGAAGGCATGGGGCCTAAGATGCAGTAACCACATGTCAACATGAAAATGCTAGCTGGGAGGCTGTGCTCTTCTCTGTGTGTTGTTCTTTCTATAGAAGGCACACATAGGAAAAGTGCTGTCTAAATATTTGGAGAAAAATACAAATTTGAAATAGCTGTGAAACAGACCACCTATTTTATTTTTAAAAAGTTACATAATCATAAAATTATATACTCAGTCTATCTGGGTCAAGTACATCTTTGGATTAATTGATCCATATTTATTTAGATTATCATTTCAGGCATTATAAAGGAGTAACTAAAAAATGATTACTCTTATTTATATCATAGACAACAGATTAAAAAGTTTATTTGTAAGATTATGTTTGCCTTGTGAAAAACTTAAAATTGCTCTATCCAACATAAAAAGTACCCAAATAAGGCAAATATATGCTCATAAGTAAATACATATATACAGCTTCCCACATATATACAGTATTTTATGTTTATTATATATATGTTCTTGTGTTTACATGTGTGCATACATGCATATATGTGTGTACATATATGTGTGTACCTACATAGAGATAAACAGAGAACATCTCATTATAGTATGTTCTTAAATCTTAAATTACTCCTGGCATCAAAAATTCAGCTTATAAAGACAGAACACAAATTGTTCTAAGATAATTTCTAGATTTTGCAAATATATATCTTATTCCATGTTTGATATTGTTTTAAATCACTGTGGTAATAATATACAGGCAGTTTTATAGAGGTGTTATATTAATGCATTGATATATATATATATATATATATATATATATATATGCTTTTTTTCTCTCCTGTAGTTTGCCATGGAACCTAATTATCTGCACATTTGGCCGAGAAATACCTTTATGATGATTGCACTTCCTAACATGGTAATATAGAATTTCTTTTTAACCAAAAACTTACATCTATAATTAATGTTTTTCATTACTTTTGCACTTTGTATATATGTACCTAATTGAGGTCTTCGTTGTTAATTCATTTAATGGTGACACCTTTAAAACTGTGGAAAGACATGGGTAGGAATTCCAAATATTTTTCAGAAAGACTTAACTTGAATGAATAACAGGAGTTTATGTGTGCCTGCCATCTCCATCAAAGGCAGACTGAGAGGAAACAGGGACCCAACAGAGCCAGGGATTTATTTTATATTTTAGGAAGTAGCTGCAGCCTTTAAGGCCTGTCAGACAATGAGATACATATCCTTAAAAACGAGCATGTTTTTTCTTTCATTCATCCTGGGTTTTTTTTTTTTTCCTCCATAGATGTTATCTTTTCTCTGATTGGCCTTTTCCTTTCTGTTGCTTTCTGCCCAGGAGCCCAGTGCCTATTGGCACTGTGTTACGAGGAAGAAAAAAGAGAAAAACATCAAGTCAACCAACGAATGAGTAATCTAAGGAGTGCAGTGTTTGCTTGGTGAAAATGGAAAAATTTAGTGTAGGAATTCTCCTAATGACCAGTGGGCACCTACAGAGAGCCCTTCCCAATCCTCATCTCAGTCCAGAAAGTTCCTATTTATAATCCCATGGAAAGTTACTGAAATTTCAATAAGTTAATTCTAACCTACCGCTTCCAGTGCAACTCATAGTGAGAATAAAGACATTAAGACATATTTATAGTTATGGGGAACAAGAGGGTCCTAAATCCAGCCAAGATGGTGGTTCACCCGAACAAAGGCCTGGACCCAAGGCCCAACCCAGATTTTATTAACTTGTGAAGAAAGTAACGGCTTGAGGATGAGTGAGTGTGAGAAAAGCAGGAAATACATGAGGGAGTGCTGTGAGCTGGTCTAGGTAGGTGGCCCGAGATCCCCACTGCAATAAGCAGAGGGAAGGATACCACGGAAGAGCCAGTCTACTTAACACAATGAGGGCTACTTCCAATGTGTCGGGGTCAGTGCTTCTGTTCTGTTATGTAAACTTTTCTGCCCTGGAAAATCACAACCTCTTACTTCCATGTGGTCCCAGTTGACAGCATGGGGCAGTGGCTCTTCTTGGCTCTTCATCCTGCCCAGCTCAGTCGTACATTTTGGGAGTCAGAGGCTGGGGAAACAGCGATTGTCACCTCACTTCAAAGATCATGCGTCACCACCTCAGCCAGCCCTGTGTACACTGCTGAAAGCCAATGGAAGGGATAACAAAATGGCCTAGCCAGCTCTGTACATACCAGTTACATGGATACAGGGACAGGTTTAGAGAAGATGGAGATTCTCTACTCAAGGAGAGTCATCCAAGTGGTCCTCCACAAGCACCTCTGAAACTTGGCTGAGCTTTTCTTTAGTGCTGAGAACACAAAGCAATGCTACCTTTCAGCCCGCTTGGACCATCACTCTGGTCCTAGCAAGAAGCTCTATGATGAGGGGTCCACCGCTAAGGAGCGTTTCCCAGCTCTGTTCTCTCTCACACTGTTCCTCCTCTTCTCACAGGACAGATCCTTTACATGTACTTTGTTTATGCCCTTCGAAGAATTTGAAAAACTTCTCACCAGCAATGAGGTGCTGGATTTCTTTCAGAAGTACTTTCAGGATTTCATCCCTCTCATTGGAGAGTAAGTTTTTTGCTTTTTGCTTTATTGGTTTGATTTGTTCCAAATTATAATCAAGATTTTGCAACTTCTTTCAGTTTTTATTAGACTTGATATACAGTGCAGTAACCTGGAGAGAAAACTACTTTAGAACGAAAGTGTCAGTAGATGTTCTGCTGTGAGCAGGAATTCTGAGAAAACTCAAGTGGAGGTGGCCAGCTTCTGGAACGATGAGCCACCAGTGTCCTAGGCTTGGATATCTTGAGTGGGCTCCTCAGGCATCTTGGGCTTCGCATGACACAGAGCCTGATTGTGTTTCCTTCCACTGAGAGACACACACATCTCTGAGCTGGGCAGGTACATGTGGAAGCCTCAAGCCTCAGATCCACCACTTATGAGCCACATCAGCTTTCCTGTCCTAGAACCCTGATGGTAAAATGCTGATAAATAAGAGTACCCACCCCATGAGATCTTGCTCGAACATTAACTGAGTATAGGACCCACACACACGAAATTTCACACAGAGACAGCTCATGCATTAGTTAGCTGGCCCATAATTTGTTATTCCTCTGGCATGTGTCAACAGCATGTCCCTGTGCACTTTTATCCTGACTGTTCCTCCTAAAATTTTACTTTCTACTCCAGGGATGTCTCTGTGGTACACAAGAGTATGCCTTAGACTATTCAGGCTACTTTAGCAACTATACCACACGCTGCATTCTTGTAATGGAAACAGCCCTATTTTCTTGGTTTCTCACAGTTTTTAGAAGCAGCTTCTCCCTGTGAACTCACATAGTGAAAGGGCTGTTAAAGGACACTAACCCCGCTCCGTGGGGCTCTGCTTCTATGACTCCATCACCGCTCCAAGGCTCCACACCCTAAGACACTGAGGACTAGGATTTCAAAATGTTCAGCTGTAGCAGAGCAGGATTTTAATACCTCTTCTGCCTCTTACTTCCTTGAGTTTCACCTTTATCAGAATACCTGCATTAGAAAGTAGTTATGAACATTTAATGAGCCAACTATGTCAAAGGGATGGCCCACTGCTGGCCCATAGCAGACTTTTAAAACTTGCAAGTTTGCATCCTTTCCTGCAGACTAATTCTGTCCCTATCGATCTGTCCTTCAGCCGTGGAGAAAACTCTCTGCCTGCACACCAAATTTAGCTCTTAGATCATTTTAAATTTGTTCCATGGCTATTTCTTGCCTCTTCAGCCAGATTTAAAAGCCTTAAGGGGAGGTACCGTTCCTCTATTTATAACTTCCACAGACTGCCATAAATGTGTTACAAACAAGTAGGGGGTTTTTAGGGAGAAGGGCTTGTTCTTTATTATAGTCAGCATGTCATACAATAGAGCTTTTGATCTTATTTTTCCTGTCTAAATGAACCCACGTAGCCTGGGTTGGTTGGTTAACATGTTACAGTTCCTCTAAATACCACTTCCATTACTATTGTTCATTTCCAAATACATACAAATTCATATCAATTTTAATTTTGGTTTACTGTAGTCTAATCAAATGTGTAATATCATTTGTTCAGTTTTCCATAGAAGATCAAATACACCAATCTATTTGAAAATTTCATGACTTCACAGTATTTTCTGATGTGAAACAAAATATTTTAACAAACATGACATGAAAATATTCTAACTTCTTCGAATGCTGGCAAACTTGCTCTTTTGGAATACGGTTCAAATTGTTGCAAACGAGGAAGATGAGAACAATGGAACTTTAGGACTGGAAGAAACTGGTTTCTCTCTTTTTTATTTTCTTCCTAGCATATTTTTCCTATACTGGGATTGAATCCAGGGCTTCACATGTGGTAGGCAAGTGCTCAGCACTGAGCTACACCCCAGTACTTTTTTAAAATTTTGAGACAGGGTCTCACTTAACTACCCTGGCTATGCTCAAACTTGCAATCCCCTTCCCTTAGTCTGCCAGTGCCTCCAATTGCAGACATTACAACCCCGTTCTCCCTGGCACTCTTACACACTTTTCAATAACATTCAAGGGCAGCCAGGGAAATCCTTTCGGTGATACAAACAGCACACTGCAGGGAGCCATAGGTTCGCTACAGTGATCCTATGGTAATAAAGCCAATGAATCCGAGAGAATCCAGCAGATTTTAATACCCAATTTGACACCTTTACATTTTGCTTATTTCCTCTGAAGGCAAGCCCTGGTGCGAGACTTTTTCCTGTTGCCGCCCCAGACAATGATATCTGTCAAGTGTTCTTCTTTCCACTTTAAGTCACACTGTATGTTGATGGGAGATGCAGCTCATGCCATTGTCCCATTTTTTGGCCAAGGAATGAATGCGGTAAGTTCTTTTAACCTAGGTAAGTTCCTGAAATATTTCCACATCAGTCTCAACAAGTTTTAAATAAAATAGACTATGAAAACTATCCCATCTAAACAGCATATTTCAATGATTATACCCGTTGCTTAACTAGATCACCAACTTGTTAGGATCTGGATTATTTGATCTTGTAACTGCATGTGTTTTAAAAATATTACAACACAGTATATAGTACTTGGTACCATGAAAAATGTAACAACTTGATATTTAGAAAATTAAGATTGACTCAAGTCTTGATTTTTAAAATAGAATTTTCAAAGAGATTATGTGGAAATACATAATGTTAGCCTCAAAGAAAAAGAAGATTTCCAAGCTACCATTTCACATCATTTTTCTCCCAAGGGACTGAGAAACAATTGACAGAATTAAATAAAACTATGAAATGGATTGAATGCTTAATACTGCCTTTGTGGAAATTTCACTTAACTGCGCTGTCAATATACAGCCTACGCAATATACTCACCAATGAAAAATGTGTGAAAAATTGGTAAGTTTTTATTATTTCTGGTTAATGTTTCCCACTTTTTTCTTGTTTCAGGGCTTTGAAGACTGCTTGGTGTTTGATGAGTTAATGGATAAATTCAATAATAATCTCAGTAAGTAAAATTTCTCAGTCAGGTATGGACTAGACATGCTGTGAATTAATTGTGGAACCTATTTCTGATCTCAATAATCACAAAACCTTAACATATATTTTCTTTTCAGGATTATTAAATTTTCTGTTACTAGCCTGTGCCACTGTTGTGACCACATCAGACAATCTGTGCCCAGAAAAGAAACATGGTTTCTCTTCAGATTTGTTCATGGAGATCTGTGTTAGCTTTTCATTACTGTAACAAATACCTGAGAGAATTAACGATAAATTGAAAAAGGTTGGTTTTAGTTCACAGTTTCAAGGCTTAAATTCATGGACCCATGGCCCTCTTCAAAAGTGTACCCTTAACCCCCAAAGACCTTCCGCTGAGCTGCATCTCTTAAAAGTTCTGCCACTTCCCATTAGCACCTTCTGGAAGTGGAGGGGGGCAAGATTTTAGCTCATAACCTTTTGAGGGACACTTCCTATACAAATTATAGCAAGGGCCATGCAGTGATCCACACAAAGGGACAGTTCAGAGTATCAAAGTTTGATGAAAATGCTCTCTTTTCTTTCCCCTTTGAATCCAGGTAAAAATCCCTGTTTGGGTCTCCTACATTATGCCCAAGAAATACTTGTAGATGCTCCAATACTTTTTTATCCTGATACTTTCATTGCCTTTTAATTAAAATTGATTCATCCAGTGTATTAATTTTATAAATATTGAGTTTTAAAGGTTTATAAGTAATTATGTGACTATAGTTATACATATTTGCATATATTCAACATAAATTTGCATATATGTATGTATAAATAGTAGCCTAAGAACTAGGCTTCCCATCTACTCCTCACATGTTCTGAAAGGCTACTTCAAAAAGGGGAAGGATAGACTAGATAATCAGGCTTGAAACACACACAGACTTATTCACTTGTCAACTTAGCATGTGATCTAGAGCAAGTCATTTGGTCTTTATAAAGCTGTCATTCTTTTTCATCTATAAAGCAGAGATAATAAATTAACCAGACAGTTGCAAATATTAAAGAAAATTATTTGTATAATTTTCTACCATAATTTGTATAATTTTAAGAGGAAAAAAAGAAAGTCTGGCATAAAATGAGCTTGTAACAAATGTTTGCCACCGTGTTAAAGGAAATCATCAGATGCTGGCATGTGCGCCTGAAAAACTATAGAGCTCCAGGGAACAACAAGAATTCCTCTTCCCCACCACATCCTCCTTCTCTTGCCCTTCACTGTCTTCTCCTTCATCTGTCTTTCCTGGTCATTTCACCTGGTCAAGCTCTAGAGGCATTTAATTTTCTCCTTTCTTAGCCCTGGGGTGGTAAGTTTGCATGAAATGATGAAAGTAGAGAGAGTTCATGTATCAGAGCACACTCTCAACACCAGTTTTGGATATGAGAGAACAGAAACAAAATAATACTCATTGTGAATAATAATTATAATTACCATCACTGAGCATTTACTATGCTTTAGACACTTTTAGTATTTTAAAAATGCATGATTTCTTTTGGTCCTTACAAAAAACATGGGACACTGATACTAGTCGTGTCCTCATTTTATAACAGGGGAATTAAATTTAGAGATACTTACATGACTTGATAAAAATCATGTAGCTAGGAAACAATGAAACTGGAACACTTAGGCCAGGTTTTCTGACTTTAGACATGGCTTCTCCCCAAGTATGGTGGCACACCCCTATAAACCAAGCACTTTGAATGGAGACGCAGGAGGATCACCACGAGTTTGAGGCCAGCCTGGGCTACATAGTGAGTTCAAGGCCAGCCTGAATTCACTGCAAGACTCTGTCACAAAAAAGAAAAAAAAAAAGATATGACATCTCTAATTTTTTTTTTCTTTTTTCAATAGTGGAAAATTGAACCCTGGGCCTTTGGTCCGAGCTACACTACAACCTCAGCCTTTTTTCCTTTTTTATTTTTAGGTATGATCTTATATATCCCTAAGTTGCCTAGTTTAGGCTCGAATTTGTGATCCTGTCTACCTCAGGGCATCTCTAACAGCTAGAGTTGTTTGACTCTATAAAAATAATATAAGTCAATTATTCATTTGCCAATTATGTATTTAATATTTCCTTTATGGCACATCGAGAGTTTAAGTATGAACAAAAACTGGAGTATGACTTTCGGAGCTTACAGAATAAAGGAAGAACTGGTGTTCAAGCTAATGAGGGGTCTTTAAAAACAGTGAAATAAGTGTGCAGGAGCACAAAGGAACACAAAATAGAAAGTAGCCAGTTGTATGTGGGGTGAGGATCATTTACATGAACTTTCCATTTGTGAAATAAGGAAAAATAATAACTAACAATTGACAATCACAATATATATTAGCTTTATTGTAAATTTTATTCCATTACAACAAGAAATACAGTATATGTATTGTTCAATAATCATAGATTGCTGATGACACAGAACAGCTATTCATAGTTTTCAAAAATCATCGTGAATGTTCATATTGAGTATACTATTTAGTTTGACCTGGATAGAGCCCAGCACATTTTTCTAGGCTGCTTTGAATATGTTTATATTATTTAACTTGGTTTCTAGGTATGTGCCTTCCTGAATTCTCAAGAGTCAGAATCCCAGATGCTCATGCAATTTCAGACCTGTCTATATACAATTACATGGAGGTAAGTAAGATTTGGTTCATCCCACAAGATGGTTTACTAACAGACCAGCAATTGTCTTCTTTTTCTTTTGCTCCAGCCCTAGCTGACCATGCTTCATAAGAATAGATACAAAGAACGAACACACACACACACACACACACACACACACACACACTCATAACAAACCATTCTTAAGACAGGGTGAGTTGTGATTACATAGCAGTAACAATGAGTCACACAAATTACTCCCTCCTGTACTTGGGAGACACTTAGAAGATAACAGAGGTGACAAAATCTCTGATTCACAGACTCAAATCATAGATAGTTAGCAGTATTATTTATATTCTATTTCAACAAAAATATAATTCTGATATAGGTTAATGTTATTACAATATCTAGGAAATATTAATTGACTTTCATACCCTTAAAATCATGGCCTACAGATTTAGAGTAGCATTGAATTTGCTCTTGAGCCTTATGTACTAACAAAAAATGTCTGGTACCAAATAAATTCCTTGTCAGAAAGATAAATAACTTTGAAGAAACACACATTAATTTCATTTTAAACCAGTTACATGACAGAAGGTTAAATTATAGTTTTAAAATAATGAAATGAAAAAATTTATAAGAAATTTTAAAGAATTTAAACTTAAAGAAAAAAATGACTGTTTCCTGTCTCTCCAATTTGAGTAGAATTGTATCATATGTAGTTAAGGACATTCTAGAATGTTTATAAAGACTATCAGTATATCTTACCTGAGTCTTTAAAATCAGGACACATACAATTCAACATTTGTCCGGTATAAGGAATAGTAGTAGATCAAGCTAGACATGGCTTTTCAAATCCAGGCTATCATAAACTGTATTACAAACCAGCCAGGAAGCAACAGAAATTGGTCAAATCCTTGAGTTCACAGGTACTTAAAGATGTTCTTGAACAAACTCTTTGCCAAAATAGAGATCTTGTACTAACTTCTGATCAAAACAGATTTCCCGGATAGTTTTTTGTTATTGTACATTTCCAAGATAAAGTTCTATATTACTGAAATTTCTTTTTTAAAAAAGATGGGCAATGACTATGGAAATGGAAGTTTACTTGACTTCCTGTATTTAGCATTGTGATGAGTGGGAGTGAAACGTAATAAAGAAGTTGTAGTGAGAAAACGACATTACTTTATTGAAAATATCTTTTAAAAATTCTCCATTGCAGATGAGAGCTCACGTCAACTTTTGGTGGTTCCTTTTTCAAAAGAATATAGAGCGATTTCTTCATGCTATTATGCCATCTACGTTCATTCCTCTCTATACCATGGTAAGGTCTGAATTTAAGATGCTTGCTCATTTTAAACTTCTGTTTATCCATTAAAAAATACAAAAGAATATTTTTAAAATTTCCTTATAGGTCACTTTTTCCAGAATAAGATACCATGAAGCAGTGCTGCACTGGCATTGGCAAAAAAAGGTTGGAACAAGTTACACTATCAAAAAAAAAAAAACTAATACATTAAAGTGTTATACTGTTATGGTCATATTAATTTTAGGAGAATAAAGAAACAATAGGATAGACATCAAATGTTTACCTTCCGAGTAAAAACTGTCCTGAGCACACAGAGAGTAGAGCACCTACCAAACAACATATGAAAAGTCAGCAGAGGGAGAGCTTTTGAAGGGAAAAAAATTGCAAAAGAAACAAGGATAATGTATCCCAACCTTCTACTTTATTTTAGCAGTGGGATCCCCTCTTGACTTTTGTGTCATACAATATTCTTATTAATTCATCAACTTGGACAGGGCTGAAACTCTTCTTGTAAGGCACTACCAAACTCCAATGCAAAGTTATGACACATTCATGTTGAGTTGCTGACCCAGAGGCATCATGCAGGACCCGTCAGATTCTTGATCATCCACTTGGAGAATCTATTCATTCATTCACTGAAGAAGTAGCTTTACCTAGTGCATAAACACTGAGCTGAGCACGGTGATGAACGAGATGCAATCTCTACTCTTCACACAGATTAGAGGCTGGGTCAGGATCAATGGACAGCTGCTGTGAGCAGGATACACTGGCCCTGGAGAAACCAGACAGGTGAAGCCTGGAGAAAAATGAGTAAAACATCAGAGTAGGAATCTGTGAACCTAGAAAGCAGCACATAGTGTGAGAATGGCCAGAGGGGAAATTGGAGAGCTAAGAAAGACCCTAAACTTTTTGAGAAACAGAGCTTTAGAGAAACAGAGGAACCAAAGAAGGCTCATACACTGAGGTTGGATTTTAGAAAAGTTACTTTAGTGTAAAGAATGGATTGGAAGGAATCAAGAGATATCAACTTATCTGAGGATGAGTAAAATAAGTTCCTGATCTCAAAGACGTAAGGGTATTAAAGAGGAAAGGCAAGTGCCACCATTAAAATTCAGAACAATAAGTGCAGAGATAGAAATCAGAGGTCATGCAGCTACTTCAGGTTAAAGAACTGAGAGGAAATTGTGTGTTCCTTTGGGGAAGTAGAATGAATTCTACTTCAGGATTTTAATCTCTGGAAAAATGAGAATTATTTCTGTCCTCATAGGTAATAAAAAAAGGACTCTTTATCTTTGGATCTCTGGTAGCCATTGGTACTGCCTACCTGCTTGTGCATTACCTGTCACCAAGACCTCTGGAATACTTAAGAAGACCATGGGAGTGGAGTCCCTTACTTCCAGAATATGGGGCACAATTCTCAGCAAACTCCATGGAGTCATTAGAACAAGTTCCCTATTTTACTAGTCAGTGATTTGAAGTTCACAAAGTAGCAAATATTGGATCTTTCTGTGACCAAAAATAAGGACCAAACATGTGTTTCCATTGCCAGAATTAATTCACTATTGGAAAGTAGTTGCCAGCATGTAAATAAACAGAAGATTGAATTTTTCTGTGTGTCACAATTATTGTGGGGAGTGGTGTGGAATCTCTCTCTTTCTCTCTCTCTCTCTCTCTCTCTCTCTCTCTCTCTCTCTCTGTGTGTGTGTGTGTGTGTGTCTCTGTCTCTGTCTGTCCGTTTCTCTCTCAAGTTTCAACACAAGCTTCCCCATCACATTTTGCAAGCTCAGGTTGGATCATTCTAAATTTTAAAAAGGAGTGACTAAGAACTCTTTCACTTCTCAAAAACTAAGGTCTCAGAATCCTCCAGGAAGACATTGCTCACACTTTTTCCTTAAAATAAGTAAAGGGGTGCACAACAGGATTAACAATGCTTGGGGCTAAAAAATCACAGCTTGCTTGACGCATTAACTACACTTTTATCACATGAAGGAGCTTGTCTTACCACAGAGCTCAGAGTCACTTGATTAAACCAGAGGCTACATACGAGGGATGGGGAATTCCAAAGAGTTACACAATGAATCTGTTTTGTTTCCCTGTCCTCAAATACCAGTATTACATTCTTCTTTGTTTTTTCCCAGGGAAAATTTCTGAAGGTATGAAAAAGCCCTTGATGCCATACTAGGTATAGGCAAGGTATAGGATAATTTTTTCATAAATTAAATATCTACATATACCAGAGAGTGGAAAGGAAGCAAGGCAAGACAGCTTTTTATAGGAATATTATGCTATATTTTATTCCATTTTAGACCCTCAGTAGCAATTTACTAACTTATTCTCGAGTTACATACTTTGACAGAACCCGGAGTGAATTTGATTTTAAAAGTGCATTGAGTATATTTTCTTTGGTCCTTCCTTCTTCAGTAGGTCATCTCAAACGTGAAGTCCCTCGAGCGTGAGTAATTATAAAGATACAACACGAGGAGGATATTTATCTAGGGAATTAAAAATTATACAATGAAATAAGATGACTCAGTGTTTCTATTCAAAGTTGTCAAAGATATCCTTGAATCTTGATAACCCATGTTAGGTATAAAGGAAGAAAAATAATACTTCTTTTACCAATGCTTAGGTTCATTAACTGGGACCCTTTTAACAAAGGACAGAAACCAACAAGAGAAAAACAAACACAAAGAGAAGTTTATTAGATGTACATTTCACATGGAAGATACCCAGAGAATGAGTAAATCTCAAAGAACTGGCTTAGCATCTTCCACAAAGAACTGTAAATTTTAGAGAAGTACCAAGACAAAGAAAATGTACTTGGAGACTCTGAGGGCAGCAACTTGTAGGAAGGCAAATAAATGGGAGTTTGCTATGCAGAGTCTTCTGGTGCTGTCTCCAGACTGAGAGTGTTTTAGTTATATTTGGTGATCAACCTTGTTTTTTCTAGCAGAGAGAAGGGAACATATTTGTAACTTTGGGGTTTTTAAAAAAATTTTTTTTTATTTTGAAGAGAATAAAACCAAATGAGAGAAAACAAAATAGGGTCAATCAAAACAAAAGGATGGACAGAGTATATGACTTAAAACCAAAATACAAGGTGATCAATAATGGTTACCATAATGTCTCTTGTTATCTTCAATAGAATTGCCCATATCATCAGGCATCATAAAATTGAACATAACAGTACAGAACAAAATTGAGAAAAACAAAACATTGGAGATATTATAGGACTTCAAAAGAAGATAATAGTTAAACCAGAATGGGTATTATAGTGAATCTTACTGTCTTCAAAGTAGTTGCCTATACTCTCAGACTTGATACTATCAAACAAAACATATTTGAATAAAATCAGTCAAAACAAGACAGTAATCAAACAAAACAGATTCAAATAAAATCAGTCAAAACAAGACAGTGAAAACCAATACAGGCCTTCAAATTAAGTTAATAGGAAATAAAAAATGGTTATCATAGTACATCCTGCAATCTTTGAAATAGCTGTCCATGCCATCAAATCTAGTACAAGTAGACCAACTGGAACACAATATATCCAAACTAAACAGAGTGATGAAAACAATATGGGTTTCAAATCCTGATACAGGATTAACAATGGCCACTGCCTTCTCTTTTTAGACAATTCCTCCCTTTTCACTTTCACAGGGTGCATTGTACATTTTGTATTCCACTAACTCCTTTATTTTTTAGATTAGGGAGACAACCCACTATTTACCTAAGTGTTCTGAACATTTTACCCCAGAACATGATCTCAAGTTGTATCCATTTACCTACAAAAGCCTTAAGGTATTCTTTTCTTATAGCTGAGTGGTTCTCCATTGCATAAAAGTTTTGTCTTTCCAACCAATCTGCAGTTGATGGGCAAGTTATCCCCACTTTTTTCGGTTTCCTGTCACACAGAGCATTATTTTCTTATGTTTGACTTTCAGTCCATAAACTCTCTTTCAGGTTAATTATATTTTTTATATAGAGCATCTTGATGGACCCTATCTCTGATCCACTGTGCCTGTGTTTCTTTTTATTAGTGTATTGAGCCATCTATATTAGTGATTATGGCCAACCTTCTCTGCCTCATTTCTGCCATGCTATTTTTCTGCCGTTGGCTGTCTACCTCTCTCCTTCATTCCATTGTCTGCCCTGTTCAGTGAACTCCCTCTGCCACTGTTCCTGAAACCATGGTCTTTTTTCTCTCTCTCTAGAATGTCCTTCAGTATTTTTTATAGGGTTAGATTGGTGGTCACAAACTCCCCCAGTTTCTCTTTGTCATGGAAGCATCTTGCTATTCCATTGATTTTGAGAGACAGTTCTGAAGGGTACATTAATCTGAGTTGGAGGTTATTTTCTTTCAGGGCTTGGAATACTTCAAGCTTTTCTTGATTTCCTTTGTAGGTGATCTGTTTATTTTTTCTGACAGCTTTTAATATTCTGTTCTTGTGTTGAATTTCTGGGACCTTAGTTATTATATGTCTGTAGATCTATTTTGGTTGTAGATGGCTGGAGTTCTGTATGCCTCATATATCTGAATATCATTTTCTTTTCCTATACTTGGGAAGTTTTCTTTAATTATTTCTGTAAATAACCTTTGTATTTCATTTGTGTTTACCCCTGCTTCCTCACTCACATTTTGTATTCTTAAGTCTTAGATCCTCTTGTTGTCTTCTAGCCCTTGTATCGTTACTTTCTGGTTCCTTGTTATTTTTAACAGATCTTTCCTTTCGTGATCGCAAGCTGCAAACCTGTCTTCAAGGTTTGATAGTATATCTTTAGTTTCTGTCAAGCAGTTTTGCCAGCTTTCAATGGAGTTTTTAATTTCCTGGTAATTTCTTTGAATCTGTTTCATGTATTCTAATTTTTTTTATATTCTTCATCAAAGGTTTCCCTCCTTTTTCTATGCTCCTCTATTCTTCCCTCTGTGTCTTCTTGAGAGAGCATTTCCTTTTTTATTTTTCTTATATCTTCCTTTACTTGTATTGATATTTGTGTTTTAAGTTCTTTTATAGTTTCATGAAGTTGTTTCTTTATGTCAGATGCTGTTGCTTCAAAAATTGCAGGTGTGCAACTCCTGATCTCTTCTGTGTTTACCTCTCTTGGGCCAGTACTGTTTGGGTTGGAGGCCGGAGACTGCCTTTTGTTTCTTCCTCTTGTCATGTTCCTGGTTTCTTCCAGACAAGTGGGTAGTGGGGTTCCTGGCACTTCTGCCAGCCAGTACAACTCTCTGGTCCACTGATCCCCTCCACCACTGCATCTTTCCACTGAGGCCTTCAGGCTTGCCAACCCCCAGCTTCACTGTGACCATGCATCTCTGGATTCTAGTGGTGTTTTTCACATAGTGGGACCAATTCCAGTGAAAGCTGGATCTGGCTATTGCTTTCTGTTTAAGTTTTTCTTTTCTTTTCTTCTCTCTCTCTCTCTCTCTCTCTCTCTCTCTCTCTCTCTCTCTCTTCTGTCTGTGGGCTTCAATTTTCACATTAGTTTCTTCCTGGGTTGAAGGAATCCATTTCTTTCCATCTTGTCTTCTCCAGAATGCTATATTCCAGCATCTGGGCTGTTTCTCTCAGAGAGGCTATTTACTTTGCTGCTTACTGTTCTGCCATCTTCCCAGAATCTGTCACATTTGTAAGTCTGGGTCCTGCTTTTAGGCAAATAAAGAGGCAGAAAGCTTTCCTCATATGGCTTCTTCTCAATTGCTCCAGCTCAAAATAATCATTATGCAAAATGAAGCTTATTTGAGGGTAGCATATTCTGGTTTGTTACTAGTTCTAAAAGAGACAGAGGGAGGGAAAAATGCCCTCTTCATTATCACTGACTGATAGGCTGATTGATAAGCAATGAAAACTAAATAATACTTTTTATGAATACATTCAAATTCTTACTTCCATATCTCTTCAAAGTAAGCATGTTTACTTAGAACTTAGAACTCCTTTTCTAAATCCAGAACTCCTGGCAAAATTCTGGGAAATTACTACAAGGAAAGAATAATCCTGCCCTGCTCATGTTCAAAATGAAATAGATGGGAATACTCATCTGCCATCAACAGCATCTTCATCATGTACTTTCTCATATGGCTGCATAATTAACCATATGCCATAACTGCCATGAAGTCATTGTATTCTTTCTCTTTGCTATGATGTTCTTAGTAGTACATTCTGGAACTTGCCCAGCAGCTCATTAGTCTGAAGCTCCTCTTCATTTAGATATATGGTTACAGATAAAGGTAGGGAATTTATTTTTATCTTAGAAATTATCTCCTTGATAAATTCCGTTTGGTCAAACATATGTCATCACTCTAAATAGAACCCACACTGCATAAAATTAAATATGGTCTAGCTATTTCACACATGTGTCTGGAACAAAGTTATTTTTACAATGAAACATTTTCAACAAAAACATATTATATGCTTTGGCAAATACAGTCATTCAAAAATATATCTGAAATAAAAATTCTAACATATTAGAAGATGATGGTGCCAGATACCCTCTTGTGCCTTAAGTGGCTTTTGTTACATAAAGCACCCATCAAATTAGAGAATGTGCCTTGTTCAGTTTCTTCTTGAGGTCAGAGAGCATGCGGGCAATTTCGATTTCTTGCTGGCCCACAAAGTTGTGTTGCTATTACATAGAAGGTGGATTCCAGAACGATCCTTATAATTGAAGTCCAAATGTGACATCCAATCTAAGGCTCAGTCTTTCATTCCTATAAAGGACGAACTTGGATTGTATCAACCTTGGACCCACTGGTTCTGTCACTGTCATCAACAGATAGTGATTCATCACTGGTGATGATAAAAATGATGGAAGAAGAATTAAAAGTCACTTTCTTCTTTGGCCTGTCCCCATCTTTTTGTGACATCACAATGGGTCTGATGTGCATTTCTCTCTCAACTGCTGGAAGGTCTTTAGCAGGTTGCTGGCATCTCAGCAGTCGTAAACAATGAAGTTGTAAGAGGGATCTTCGAAACTGGGCAGAGAAGAAAAAGATAAAGTTATTATTAGTTAAAAAGTAGGCCTTTAATTGGACTAATATTCAAGAAGATGAGTTGAGTTAAATTTATTTTGTTTGTTAGTTGATATAGAGCAGAATTTATAGGAATGCTTAGATTGATCTAAATCACTCTGGAGTTTTACATCTGATTTAAGTCGTCTTATTAACCAGATCACATAGGGCTATTTTAATACCTTAGCCTTCCTTACTTTCCATTTGTATGTACCTTCTGAGAAAACAGCTTTATCTGTTTAAGGCATTTTCAACACATATTCAGTCCACAAATATTCAGTGAGAACTTACAAGGTGACAGCCTCTGAGCAATCATCTAGAGATAGTATAAGCAACAAAAACAAGTCTGTTCTGGCAGAATTTATTGACTGGTGTGCTCACGAGTGCTCTTTTAAGTAGGAGAAGTTTTTTCTATTAAAATTACAAATTGGGGGAAAATACTATAATGATGAATGCTAGTTTTCAACAAAATATGTAATTCTCTGTGTCCTGGGCTCTACACTAACCATATTTCTCAGGCCTGTCCAAGGTCTCCCCTCTGCTCTTCCTCATCTCTAAGAAACTTGATGACCGAGGTCTGAAGATGAGAACCTCATGAAATGGAGGAGATATTATTGGGTACCCAGACATACAATCGAAATATACTTATTTTTACAATATTTTCAGGTGTGAAATATGCACAATAGTTTAGAAGTAAGGATTTATAGTCTTTGGCTAAAAGAAAGAGCAAAACAAATTGTTAGAGAATATATTTAAATTTTGCTTGTTGAAGAGTAGTCCTCAAAATTATGAGAATAAGCCAGAACAACTACTACTATTTCTAAACTCAAGCAAGTTACGAGCTTTGGCTTTGAAGACTCAAGTGAACTAGCTTCAAGTCCTAGCACCTATGTTTTCTGTGTCAGGCAAGTTATCTTTCCTGAGTCTACTTCAAAACCTGTAAGAAAGAATATCAGTACCTATTTCATGGCGTAGCTCTGTAAAGATAGTAGGTGTATCTACATAGTACAGTAAGAACTTTGAACATATTAACTCTGAAATTATTATTTAAGAAACTAATTCATTATAAGTAGTAGACAAATATTTTCTGATTAATTAAATGGTAATTTTAATAGAATTTCACCTAATAAATACAAATCTCTATTGGCAGATCTTAGAATTATTATTTTGTTTGGTATTTCTTCCTAATCCATTTACTTTCCTGTGTAAGTTCTTTGTTGAGTTTTCATCGCTGAAGCTATTCTGAATTACTTCTATAAAATTATTTTTTCAACCCTTTTCCCAAGGTGAAATCACTTAATTGTAAAGCTTACCTTTCTAATCATAAGGACATAAATAACAGGGTTGTATACAGTGCTGGATTTAGTAAACAGGTAAGAAACAATTGATACTGTGGGTGTGACTCGGTGTCTGTAACCATTAACGAGCAAGAAACAGATCACAATGTAAGGCATCCAGCAGACCAGGAAGATGAAGACCATCAAGAAGCACATTATGGCCACTTTATTCTCAGATCTTAAAATCTTCATCACTTGAATTGTCTGAAGATCTTCAACACCACGAAGCTGCAGCACAAAGAAACAAAGGCAGGAGTTGAAAAGTGAGAGAAGTGATTTCTTTTGGACCCTCTAGGCCCTACCCTAGAAAGAACAAAAAAGGACGTTGGGAATATGATGTGGCTTTGGGTCTCAGTCTCCTCAACTGGAATATGTTATGATTGAACTGTACAGCCTCGTAGATCTTTCAGTAGTTTTTAATGTTTTCTAACTGATTTAACAAAGAAGAACTAAATGATTTTACCTGGATTTTCAAGTCATTACAATTCAGCCTGAAACAGTCATGATAAAATGATAACAGTTTCTTACACTAAACTGCAGATTCTCAAACCAGGCTATCCACTCAGGTCAGGAGCCTACAGTTGTCTTGATGAGTACTTAATTCCCAAATGAGTTCTTGCTGGAAACTACTGTGTCTTTCCATTCCCGGCTAATGACTCTCACAGTAGAATCTGATGCATTTGTTTGTGGTTGGTTTCATTAGGGGCTCATTTTTATAGCATTTGGTAAAACCCCATTTGTCTGAAATCAACACATCTAGTTTGTCCTCACAAAAGGTACTGAGGAATAATACTAAGCAGTTTTAGAACTCTCTAAAATTCTCATATAAGCAAGGCTGTGTGTGTGTGTGTGTGTGTGTGTGTGTGTGTGTACCGGGGATCAAACTCATGACCTAGTATTGCTTGCCAGTCCGGTGCTTAGACTGCTGAGCTAAATCCCTGGAAGAAAGATTTTTTTATATATTTATCTTACTATTATCATAAATATTTATGATTTTTTTTTGTACTGAGATTGAACTCACAACCTTGCACTTGCCACTATCCCTGGGCCATAAATGTGTTTTGAAGGTGAAGACAATAATACTTCTGCACAACAAAAATACAAATAAAAATGACTGAAATAAAATGACTATTTGATTATCTGAAATAAAAATGACTATTTCTGAGCACTATAAGATACTATACTAACCCTCTTACCAAAATACAAAAGCTTTATGTATCGTATTTTTTTAAAAAACAGTTATCAGGTATACTGTTGATACTTAGTAGTAATAATTTCAAAATGGAAAATTTATTGTATTTCAGTGAATTCTGAGTGTGTCTTTAAGCATTATAAAAATTAAGGGAAACTTTTCTAAAGGAATTAATTAGAACGTGCTTATACTAGTTTAAATATATATTTGAATAAGCATTCCTTATTATTGGTTATCATCTAAAATTATATTTAACTGTATTATTGGTTATCATCTAAAATTATATTTAACCATTATTATTACAAATTATATATTATTACAAATTATACATTACAAATTATATATATACAAATTATATTATATTCACATTAAAAACAATACAGGTAAATATTAAAGTTTAAATGTGTGATTTTTTAAGAGTAGAGAGAATGTATAGGAGGGGAATGGGTATTTAATCTGTCACACTATTCATGTGTGCCATTCTGTTTTTAAAAAGCTATTTTACATACTGTCATAGGATATCACCCTCTTCTCATTTTAGGGACAAGGCACCTCCCTTCAGTTTTTTTAGAAAGGTGTGGATTCTGGTAAAAGCTACAGTTAAGAATCAGAAGATTTGCATTCATGTTCCATCACCTTTGTTCCATATGATAATGAGCAGTTACCTACTCCAGATATAAAGATGGAGTGGAGCTTCGAACAAATGTTCCACTGCATTTATCAGAAACTGGGTTGCTTTGGGCAGTAGTCTTTGAAATTAAATATTTACATTTGAACTCTACTTGAAACTAACATACATACGTACTTTTATGTTTCTATAGGATATGTGGAATCATCACTTTTGACTCTTCAGAATTTCAGCTAACTAGTGTATAACCACATCTCAGTTATCTGCCTTCAAGACCCCACTGTCTAGAACCCCACAGTTTTATCTTACTGTTTTATGGGCACATTGGTCTCCATCCTCTCTTACCATTCATCAAGGTATAGTGCTCATTCATTATCTTGGAATCATATGCATGCAAGTGAAGGTAATTAAGCAAATGTTGATCTATTCTCTGGCTTGTCTTTGGTCAAAGGAGAAGATCCTTCTAATGTTTCAGATTATTTGGGTTTGTATATGTGAAGTTTCTATTATTTTTGTTTATCTCTCTTTAGCTTTTTGTTTCATCACTATTCTTTCACTCTGCTCTTTTGAAGTTTTCCTTTGAAAAAGGAGCTCAACTTCATGTCTCATTCTCTTTATTCAATAACTTCAGGATATTTTTAAAAACTTGTTCTGGATGAAGAGAAAGTACATGTCAAAGTTGTCCCAAAAATAAACCATTTAAGACAAATTCTCCAGCATTACCTCTGGAAGTGCTACCTTCTTCTGTTAATGGATATGCCTAGTGCTTACTGATTCAGACACATGCAGATTTCCATGGTAAGCCCCTCATTCTCAAGTGAGTAGCAATGTCATTGGTGGTGTGAGTCACCTCTCTCTGAATAAAGAAATAGAGACACAGTGCTTGCACCAAGTTCTCTGTTGAGGTAATAGCGCAGTCTAAACTCAAATTTCTTTATGTTTTAGACCAATAACCTGTCTCCCCTTTTCTAAGTCTTCTTCTTGTAACTCATTCCAAAAATAATATATTCAGGGACTATTCCAGCTACAGGGAAAAAAGAGGTAAGACAGTCTCTGCTCTTGAGGAATTCACTCTGTTGATGGTGAGAAGCACACAATTGCTTCCATAAGTGATGCATGGGGTGATGGAGAGCAGGGCGATATGGGAGCACACAGCTGGAGAACCATATTCAGGGCTGGGTTAGAGCAAGAAAATTTTGATCTCAGCCTTCTGAGATGAGAAGTTAGCTGAGCAAGAAGGAGAAACAGAATGTTGCTGAGGAAAGAGGCGTACTAAGGCGAAGAAGAGAAAGCACCACATGTCGCATTCTGGAAACAAGAAATGTAGCAGTGAGCTGGATATGCAGGCAGCAAAAGGAGAAGAATGTCAAGAAATGAGGCAAGACAGATAGACCAGACACGCCATACAGGGTCCACTCGTCACACTAGGGAGCTCTGTTTCAATCACGATGGCAGTATTTGAGAACAGTTACTCAGGTGGCAGTGAGTAAAGAATGATTAGAGGAAAGTGAGAATAGAAGAAGGAGAAATGAGGTCCTTTTGAATTGAGTCTGTGTCTGAAGGCGGTGGAAAATGGGCATTGTGGACAAGACATTAAGTAGAATAAGAATTGTTCACTAGCTGCATATGGAGAAGATATGGGGAAGAACAATCCAAGATGACTTCCTAATTTCTGGCTTAGGTAGCAAGGAATGCTGACTATTCCATGAAAAAGAGAGCAGAGAAATAGTGAATTTGGGGGGCAGAGAGATAACAAATTAACCATCATATATGCTGAATTTATTGAGTCTGTGAACCGCTAGGGGAGGCATGCAATTGACAACTGACTATGAGCATCTGAGGTCAGAAGAAAGACCTGGAATGGAAACAGAAATTTCAAAGTCATCAAATTCTACTTAGAAGGGTGAAATTATGACAGCATGAGGTATGACAGAAACATATGGTAACTGTTTAAATAAAAATATTACAGTAAAAGACACATCGCGCCACGAATTCCCTCAAACCCTCCCCCTCTCTTCAGACACACTAATCCCCCCATTCTTGCCCATTTCTGAAGCAGCTCTGGAAGTCATCTTTCGCGAGTTCAGTTAGGTTATCACGACTGCCTCAATATCTTGCGTCAATTCAAAGTGTTTATCTTTCATACTCATTTTGCTTTGGAGAACTGCCAGAAGTCACTCAGTGCCAGGTAGTAAGATGGATGAGGATACACCTTCATGTTTTTACAGCCTGCCTTTCCAGTGGATGGCACACTGTAGCAGAATTCATATTTTTGATCACATATCCTCAAGGTACTTTCCAGAATTGCTTCAGAAAATGACAAAAACAATGGGATAAATGAGATCAAAGTAAGGGAGAGGATTTTGTGGAGGAGTCATGACAATGTCTTTTCCTATAATAAATTTTTATGTAAGCATTACTCATATACTTCAATCACACCTCACGTGTGAGATTACCGAAGGTCAGTAGGTAGCAAGAAATGAGAACAAAGAATGCTGAGGAGGCCCAAGCAGAAGAAGTCCTTACGGGAGACAAGCAGACAGGGCCAGAGAAATAAAAACAGGGTCCCTGAACCAACGGGAGGGAAGGATTACGCAAGAAAATGGAAGTTGGGGCTGGGATTTAGCTCAGCGGCATAAGCGCCTGCCTTGCAAGCAGGCGGTCATGAGTTCGATCCCCCGTACCGATAAAAATGAAAAAGACAAAAAAAAAAAAAAAAGAAAAAAAGAAGTTATCATCAGTCTTAAATACTACAGATGCCAGCAAACAATAGAAACAGAACCGTGTGTGTTGTGTCTAACATTTAGGACATCAGACCTTAAATGAGGGATGTTTCAGTGAAGGTATGGTAGAGATGGAGGTGCCTGTCTGCAGTAAGTTGTAAATGCTATGTGAATTTGCTCAGCAGCTGACTCCCTGAACTACAACAGATCTAGAAGTTGGGGTCCAGGATCCAGGTTCTGACAAGGAAGGCTTCATTCTGAAGTCTCTTCTCTGGGTTTGTAAGTGTTCATCTCATTATACATTCACATGACCTCTTGCACCTAGGGAACGTGGTGCACTGCAGGGGAGCAGAGGCGGGGAGGGGAATGTTGCAGACAGACAGATGTCTGTTTGTTTGCTTGCTTATTTGAGACAGGGTCTCACTATATAGTGTAAACTGGCCTTAATCTCACTATGTAGCCCATAGTGAGGCTGGCCTCGAACTCAACAGAGATCCTCCTGCCTCAGTCTCCTCAGTGCTGGGATTACAGGCATGTTCCACCACACACCCTTTCTTAGTGTCCTTGTAAGCCCATTGGATCTCTTATGATTACTACCCAGCGGCCTTATCTCCAAATACCATCACACTTGGCCCTAATTAGTCAAAATCTGAATTTGGGAGGGACAAAATATTCTGCCCATACCATTAAGTAAGTGGTACCTTTTAGATGCTTGATAAATGTTAGTTAAATGTTAGTTTTAGAGTGACCATATGGTACCAAAAGCTACCAATGATTTTTCGAGTTAGCAGTGACAAGAAGGAGAGAAAAGATAGCTACAGGGAGCAGACAGTAGATTTGCTTGTGTTTTAAATGAGCATAGTTACATGCTAAAAGGAAAAAGTCAGTATAAGGGAAGGAAAAAGTCGAAGGTATAAGTAAAAAAAAAAAAAAAATTACAGCTGAGCAGTTCCTAGAGAAGATAACCGGCCGGGCGGGGGAGGAGTCAGAATACACAATTAGCTCGGTCCTGTGGTACTTCCGTGTCACCCATAACTGCAGGAAGAAATCTAACAAACAGTGTGAAAGAGAGGTTTATGTAAAGGGAGGCAAGGAGTTCTGGAAGTCCCTGATAGCGGCTTTATTTTATCCAATAAATACGTTTATGTGATAAGAATGAAGGGGAACAGAACTAGATGTTGAAATGAACAGTGATGTTCACAGCCATAGTGTGAGAAAGTGGGCCCTACAGAAGCACAGAGATTGTTAGGGCTGAGAGGACGCCTGAGTCTGGAGCCAGGGGGCTTTTCTTCCAGCTTTTCTGTGCATTTCTACTGCTGGCATGGAGAGAACAGAGTTGAGTTGGTCCGAAGATGTTTTCCTTCGACAAAATGAGTGTACGTGAAAAATTATAGAGATGGCGGGTAATAGGTTTAAAGTAATGCATGGGACTAAGTTTGGGTTAAAACAAAAGGTGAGGGCTCTGACAGAATGACTGTAGTGATCTCGTGAAAGCAGTGGGCTGAGGGAGTGGGAAGGAGCACTGTTGGGAAACCACGCGTAGCTGATGTTATGCAGTAGAGCGTGGAAGCATACTGCCCCCTATGGGTTGGTTTAAAAATCCTCCTTGCAGGCTCCCAGCGTGACATGTTTGTGGTATTTCTAGAGAAAAAATCTGTACTATTCTCTTGACATGGGTTCATGTGATCTGGTCTGAACAAAATGATGGGAAGTGACCAATTCTCTTTTTCAGCATTCGTAAACTCTGAGCTGCATAATGTAGTAAGTTTGATGCTTTCACTGATTGTGCTTATCCAAAAATCCTTTCCTGCCTTGTTTTGGTTCAGTAAGTGATGCAGAAAAAAGTGATACTACTCATTAATCCTTTCAGGGAGTGAGTCGTAGTGCAAAATGCTACCAGATAGGCAGTCCCCTAGAGTTGCTACATTTCTAGAAAACTGATTGTGTGGGAAGAGTTTATTCTTTACACATTAAATTTGGATGCTTTTGGGGGAGGGGCATCTGTAGCCTTCAACTCACCATTCGAATGGAGTACAGAATATGGCCATAGCAGTGGACTATGACACCCACAGGCACCACCAGGCAGCCAAGAAATAAGAAGAGCACAAAGGAGGAATCGTTGGCATCTTTGGATTTCCAGTCCACAGTGCAGCTTAGTCCATGGATGTCCAGGATATACCTGTTCCAGCCCAGGAGAGGTGCTCCTGCCCATGCAAGCGAGTACAGCCAGATGTAGGTAATGGCCCTCCAGGCCCAGGAAAAATTGATCACTCTGGCATGGACCACACGAATATAACGTTCATAGGCCAGCACCGTGAGGGTGGTAATAGAAACAATCCCTGTAAGAAGAGAAAGTAGAAAAGTATAGCATAATGCAGGGGGAAACTAGACAGAAGTGAGCGCTGTGTGCTCCATCAGAAATACCATATGGAGTACCTGAGACCAACAGAGTGTTCTAAAAGTTGAGAGCCAAGAGTAATAATACCCCAAACTCCCTGAGAAATTGCATTAAGAATGTATTTACCTATGAAAGAAAACACAAGATGGAAAATGGCATGTGGATTATAATGGGACAAAATAAAAGCCCTGCACTAATGCAGCTATTGCATTAAATTGTCTGCAAAAAAGAAACTCTGGGGGCTGGGGATTTAGCTCAGCGGCATAAGGGCCTGCCTTGCAAGCAGGCAGTGGTGAGTTGGATCCCTCGTACCCATAAAAAAAGAAAAAAGAAAAGAAACTCTGGAGTCATTGGAGCAAGTGCTTCCTTCAGTTTTGCCTTCTCTCAGTTATTAAGGTCTAAGTGGGTTCTCTAAGCACAAACTGATCAGTCAAGGTAGAATTATGCAGAGGGCTGCTTTGACCCAGCAGGTAGCAAATGTCAGCATCTGAACAATTCATATGCAAAGATTATTAAAAAGATAGGAGAAAGACTTCTATGCTCCTTTGGTCTTCATTTATTCTTCTGTTTTGCAACAATAGACTTAACAATATTATTCACGTATTTCTGTCTTTCCCCCAGAAAGTGATTCATTTGCTCAACAAGCACCTGTTGAGAACCTCATGTTTCCAGGCATTGTAGTGACACTGGAAATCTAATGATGACTAAGGAGACCGAACTCTGGATGTCCGAAAGGACCGCAGATGTGCAAGTAATCACAGTGCTTTGGAGGACAAATGCTGCAGTGGTGCCATCATGTACTGGAGTCTCAGAGAAGGAAGCACTGGTAACAGGGCAGAAGTATACTGCAGGAAGAAAGAGCAATCCCGTGCCAGAGTCTGGCTGTGTGGAAAGACAGGAAATGGTCTACGAACAATCGGAGGATGCAGAGGTGCCCAGATCAGAGGATAGGGACAGAGATTTAGGGGCAGCAGATGAGGCCACACAGAGAAAGGCTCTCGATTTCTAGATAAGGCATTTATTTTATTTCTTCCTTTTATTTTTTAAAACCTTTTCCTGTATGAAATAGTAAATTATACTTTCTGTTATTCCCTTGTCCTGTTTAAATACAAAGTAACAAACACAGTTAAGGTCTCTTTTCCTTCTTCTTCATTTTTCTTCTGCAGTTACACTCATTCTAGCAGTAGCACAGAGCAAAGAACACAGTCCACAGCCCCGGAAAACAGTTTGAGCCCACACCACAATTTATCAGGGCCAACTAGCAAATGCAAAGGCATCAGTAGCCGCATCTGGATTCAAGAGGTATTGAAGACAGCTGTTAGGTAAAATATTATAGGCAGTCAGACCAGGCGAGGCACTTACTGTGGCCGGAGGTGCATCTGTTGGAGGTCAAGCCTCAAGATAAAGACAAAATGATCAGGCCTATGTTCCTCCCCAAGGGATAAGATAAGTAGTAACACCTGCTCTAATAAAGTTTAGATAGACATCAGTCACCTCAGTGGGTGACCAAGACTCTTGGACACATCTCTTCCTAAAATGTTCTTTGTTCTTTCCATATACACTTATTATGCGACCTGCTTTCCCATTAGCTCAACATTACCTAAGTGGCTATACTTAGAATCTTATTGTTTGATCATAGTTTTGTCTCACCTTATATCCATCTTGTGATTTTTGCACCTACCTTGTGATTTTGCTCTATAAAATTTCCTGTAGAAGGTTGGGTCCATGGCAACCCACTTGGACCCCCTCCTGTCTCTCACTTAATCAAATGTCCTACTGTTGACCTCTGCTGTTCCTTAAAATTCATTCTTCAATTTTGGGGAACTCAAAGTCAGTGTATCACACATCTAACAGGTTGAGAGTTATATTTATTTCTCCTATATAATCTAAAGGGCCTGTATCAGTGGGGCTGGGGATAAGTTGTCAAGAGGTCTGGGTGCTCCCCACTAAGTAGCTGTGTAACTTCCAGCAAATCATCTTTTCATACACTGGTCTTTGTTTTCAGAAAATTGAAGATGTGGTCACACTATAAAATTTTATGATTCTGTTATTATGAAAACGTGAAATGAAGAGGTCCTTGTCTTAGAAAGAAATTGTAAGAGTTCATATTCATTATTATTGTTATTTGCATATGAGTATATGAGGCTGTAAGGGACAGTATTAATCCTAGCATCTGATACACATGGTATATGATGAATATTCATTAAAAAATAAGTGAATATTTACTAAATACTTCAGTGAACAGAAGGTTAGGTTTTGGAATAAATATAAGGAAGTAGTTCAGGAAGTAATGCTATAGTAGCAAATAATGAATTTAAATACAGATTATAAGTAATTAGGTAGATAAAAGTATCAATTTGATATCTATCTTCAGAAATCTATTCTTACTTTATTAAACTATTTATCTAAAGAGTGTTATCTTTTAACTATTTTCCTAAAAGAAAACTTAGAAATCTATGATTAATGACATAATGTGACTAGTGAAATACTAACTTTAGTTTATAAGCTTTTCTATTAAATATAACAGTATTTAAATTTGTTTGAGATAGGGTCTCACTCTGTAATTCAGGCTGACCTTGAACTAGTGAGTGGTGTACACCTGTAATCCCAACAGCCAGGAAGCCCAGCAGGAGGACTGGTCTAAGTTTGAGGCCAGCTTGGGCTATGAAGAAGTCCAAGGCCAGCCTGGACTGCATAGCAGGTCCTGTTTTCCTCCCTACCTCCCCTCAGAAATATATATATTGGCCTTTAGATTTTAGTTACTTTGTATTGAATACGATTTACTCCTTCATAGCCAAGAAAACTTGATGGAAACAATAGCACTGTTTAAACTAGTCAAGTTCAACATGTCTTAGGGATGAATAATTGAGTTTTTAGAGTTAAAGCAATAAGCCAATAAGATAGCCTTGTATGAGCATATGATTACATTCATATATCCATTCATTATTAATATTCATTGCTTATCTACATGTGTCAATCATGCTAGAAAATAGTTTAAGGAAAGATCTATTAAAGTGCATCATGAAACTTAAAGCCCAATGGGTAAGACACCATAGAATTAAAAAATTAAACAAGTAAATTGTTAAGAACTATGAAGAAAAAAGAATGAATAGGTAGAGAATAACAAGGGAGAGGGCATGTGGAAGAGCACAGCAGCATAGAGTGACAGAGCTGAAGAACAAAAGCCTCAATTTGTGATGTCATGTTATGGAAGATTGTAAACTTTTCCATCTGATCATTTATGTCAAAAAGATTTTTAACCTATTAGTATAGTTTCCCATGCCTTTGCTTAGCAAGCACAATAAGTTTCCAGTGTCTGATTTCAGCCAGTGTTCAGTGTTCAGTCTGCTGATGGGTTAATACAGGTGAAGGGAGAGTACTCTTTGCATTTATCTGGCCCACTGAGATGATACAGGTGCAAGTGGGATTGTAGTGGTGGTAGAATGAATTAGTTTTCTGGGTGACTCATTAGAACTGATCTTAAATTGCACCTTCCTTAGAAAATATAAAGCAGTTCCTCGTCCCCTGTGGACACATTATTTACCAATGAAATTTGTTGTAGTCAAAACATTTGTTATATTCTGTGTATCTCCCAGAATATAATCTAGGAAGATGAGAATGAAAAGAAAGTTTTACAACTGTTTTACACGTGTATTTTAGCAGTTGTTGAGCCTAATAATGAGATATGGTTGAAATATATGGTGAATATTTAAATAACAATACTACAGTGAAATGCATTGTCATTAATCCCCCTCAAAATACTCCTTTCTCCTCAAACACACTTATTCCGTCATTCTTTCCATTTTCTGAAGCAGTTCTGGGAGTCTTCTTTCGTGTCACTATGAGGTACCCTTAAAAATTAGGATGGATGCTGCTGCTGTCACCTGAAGGAAAAGCAGTCTTGGAAAAGCATTTCCATGTGTCTTTATGGATCTGGCACCATGAGACTCCAGCTCTTCTCCAAAGTCAAAATGATCATAAAAACAGTGTCCTTGGATTGATTCAGGACATAGAGCCTGCCACCAAGTGTAACTAAAGACACACACACACACAAAACCTTCCAGAGCTGTCCTAAAAAGTGGCAAGAAATAGCACGAGTGTGTTCAAAAAGAAAGGGAGAAAGATTAATGGCAACATTTCATTTATTGTAATAAACTTTTAAATAATTTAAACATTCACCATTTTTCTATCCTACCTCTTTAATGTAGTACATCTGCTTCCCTTAACCCTAAAGAAAACAAAGGGGAAAGTGGCAGCTGAAACACGCATTAGTAAAGCATCAGGCCATATGGTCCGTACAGATGGTAGCTTTCCTTATGTGGTAAAGCCACATTTTGAGAACCAGTGCTAATTCCAGATTTAGAACTTTGTCTTTATACTGCCTCCAGTCACTAGAGGGAGACGACTCCTTTTTCACAAATTGAATAGGAGTAATGTCCTATTTGTAAAAGTGTTGCAATCATCTCCAGCATGATTCCTACCTGACTCCCACCTTTGGAAAGATGAGGGTATTGCCTTCCTGTAAAGTTAAACTCATATGCAACATTAGAGGGCAATGTAAGATGATATGCAATCATATGTTAAATTTACAGTGCAATAGAAATCAGAGAAAGTAAGGTCTTGCATTGTGAAAATAGCTTGATTAAGAAACAGAATTGAAGTTGGACATAAAAGATGGAATGATTCTCAGAAATAGAAAGAATCAAAACTGGCACTTCGGGATGGAAGAGCAACTTTTGCAAAGGCAAAGTGAGATTCCTTCAATTCTTGCAACAGAGCCTTGGACTCACGTGTAGTCACACCTGAGGGTTTAGAAGGGTAGTGTGAAGCTGACCCCCATTTCCCAGGGCTGGCAGTGGCCCCAGCAGGGATCTTCAAGTTGTTTTTCTACTGTTTTCCCCTAATCAAATTTCGAAAAAGTATATGCAGCCTTATATAAGTAGGGTGGCACCTACTTTTTAAAGATTTAGATTTAAAGAGCTGTCCAAATATACACTTTTGAAAGTAAAAATATTTCCTCACTTAGAAATAAATTCAACGTACTTAATGATTGGTAAATATACTAGTGGTTTCATATACAGTAAATATTCTTACACATGTACATGCATACATGTGTATTTATAAAACAGTAAATGATCACTTAAACTTACATGTCCATTCTGCCTGTCTCCTAAAAATTTTATTCCCCCCCAAAAAAATATTGGCATGGCTTAGCGATTATGAATTATTCACCTTTTTTTGCATGAAAATATTTTTTTGGGTTTTTTTTTTTTTTTTTTTTTTTTGGTGGGGTGGGACCTGGGAATCAAACTCAGGGCCTTGCATTTGTCAGGCAGATGCTGTGCCACTGAGCTACATCCCCAGGCCCTCAAAAATGTATTTTGAAATGGAAAGTTTTAAATTTCAGGACTACCTTAAATTTTCTTGTATATTGAGTTTATATTTTTATTGTTACAATTTATATTAATGTAGTTAAATTTATAATTTATATTAGTATATAATTGATCAAAATATTTTGTTAGATATTAAAAGTAAAAGATTAGAAATACACTTTGTAGAAATAAAGGTGTTCCTTCACTGCATGGAAAATATATCTATGATTACTATTATTTAGATAGGAGGCAAGATCAGTTCCACTTCCATTTTTTTTTGTATATAAAGATAGATTTCTTGATTTTGTGTGTGTCCAGGTAGCAATGGAAGGAGTTTCCTTATATTCAATTTTTATTAATTATAAGAACATTCCTTCTATAGTTAATCAAATTCTTCTTATATTGTATGCCAAAAATCAGTATTTATTACCAAAATTATTTTTAAACAACTTACATCTAACAACTAATTTTGTTAAAAGCAAATAATTAGAAACTACCTGAATGGTCATTTGCTTCCTCAATATTTTCACCAGTATTTTTTTTTTTTTTTTGTCTTTTTCCTTTTTATTGGTAACGGAGATCGAACTCAGGACCACCTGCTTGCAAGGCAGGTGCTTGTGCTGCTGAGCTAAATCCCCAGCCCCCTTCACCAGTGTTTTAAATTGTCCCTTTGTTTATCTTTCTGGAGCCTCTGCACCACCTCCTGGCAACATTCTGCAGTAAGATTTCATTCTATTAGAGGAGGGTCAGTGG